CTCTGTTGCTTCCCGCCGCCCCCCGGGACCGCCGGCGGAGCAACGGCGAAGGCGGCGAGAAGGACAAGTGGAGCCACCGTTTGGAAAAACTGCGACTGACTCGATCTCCGCCCCCTGTCCTCACACCGAGCACCGCGTCTTCTGTGCTGCCACCTAGCGGCGGCACCACTGCCAACGCGCCGCCCAGGAAGGTCGGTCGGCTGGTTCGAGAAGGCGGAGTGAGCGTCAGTTCATCCAACGATGAGCTGAGCGGAGGTCACAGCTTCCCGGGCTTTTCCTTTGTTCTCCCTCTTCACGGCCTCGACAACAACAACACGGCGGCCGCGGCTCCCGTGGCGGCTGCGGTGGGCGGCGGTAACATGCCCTGGAGGGGCGGACGCTGGCACAAGTGTCGTCTGGTCCTCCGAGAGCGGGAACGGGAAGGCGGGCGAGGCGACGAGTACTACTTAGAATTTTTTATCCCACCCAAGGTATAATGATGATAATGGTGATGAGTGTTATGCTAAAAATAATGATGTCATCCACCTTTAACACGGTCAGGCGTCCAAACCGCGGCGGACGGTGGCGTGTGGCGCCATCCTGGATGTGAGGAGCACCACGGCGCTGGAGGTTCCCGACAAGGAAAACAGCTTTCTGCTGCAGGTGAGATGCCGACGGACAGTTTCCGTGCCCGCAGCGTCTTTGCGCTCATCTGTGCTCGTTTGTCAGTTGGAAGGCACCATCCAGTATGTGATTGAGACGCGTGACGCTGTCCAGATGAGGGCGTGGCTCAGCGACATCCGCCACGGAATCTGTCTCAGGTGAGGAGCAACAGAGCTAACCCAATGTAACTGACACCAGCTTGCGCTGTGTGAGCGTACGTTATTAAAAAGTCACTTCCTGGAGCTTTGAAAGCGGGTGACTTGGCGCCCCTGGCTCCTAAGAGGGTCACGCCGCAGCTTCGAAGCCTGAGTAGGTGAGGCTGGGATGGTGGCGTCTCCGCCACATGACACAAATACCGATCCCACGCCTTAAAAAAAAACAACAAAAAACGAAGGGTTAGACAGCACGATGGACATTTATAAGTCAAACTACCGTATTGGCCCAAATATAAGACGGTGTTTTTTGCACTGAAATAAGACTGGAAAAAGTGGGTGTCATCTTATATTTGGGGTCTACACGTTATACTCATTCACAACGCTAGATGGCGCCAGATACCATTGAAGCGAATGCTGAATATGACTCCCCAGGCCAAAGCGAATCCCTGTCACTAAGAATAAAAATAAAAATAGCGGTAGTACGAAGAAGAAAAATGAACAATAGCGGTAAAAAAGAAAAGAGAAGAAATTAATAGAAGAGAACAGAAAATGGAGAAACGTAGCGACAATCTGGAGAAAAGTGGGTCGAAGATCGGCCAGGTGAACCGGCAGCTGAGGAGAAGTTATGATGTAATTTACATTTCAAAAACCAGAAGCCATTCATTTACGAATGTGATTGCACTTTAGTTTACATCTTTGAATGTTTAGATACTAAGATTTGAATGAGGCAAAATAACATGCTTTTTCTCTCAAATATATTGTGAGAATCATTTGTTTCAGATGTACTGTAATTATTTTCTGTATAAAAATTAATTTGGTGTTCAAAAAGTCTTCTTTCAAACTTCAGTCTTGAAAAAGAGGGGGTCGTCTTATAATCAGGGCCGTCTTATATTCGGGCCAATACGGTACATATCATGTCCGAATATGATCACACAGCTCTACATTGGCACAGGAACGAGTCAACGGTGTCTCACGCGCCCGGTGGTGAAGCCGTGGGGAGAGATTGCTCACCTCTGATTGCGAACATGAATCTTAGACAAGGCTAAATCAATTGACAATTAATTTGAGTCATTTATCCAAGACTGTTCACAAAACCGTTAAGGGTGGAACTTATGGCTACTGCAGTTTTTAAAAAATCCCTCCCCTAGCCAGTTTAATACCGGGCTTCTGTAACCAACCCTAGTGGCACGCCCCCCAACATGTGTGTCTTCCGCAGCAGGCAGGAAGATGCCGACTGTGGCGGCTTGCCGGACATCAGTGGCACGCCAGAGATTATCGACCGTCTGTCGCAAGGTGAGCGCGGCCAAATGCAGACACCACAACATCGAGGCACTTGCCTGTCCCTTGATACCGCTTCCTCTCTCACGCTGCCGCAGTGTGCTACGGCGGCGTGGCGGGGTCCTCCCCGCCAATGGATCCTCTTCCACCCGAATTGCCGCCGCGAGCTCCACTGGACGAACCCGACGCGCGTGTCCTCGGAGGGGGCGGGGCTAGCCTGAGCACGCCGTTTGCAGAGACGCCAGACGCGACAGGTGGATGCCAATACAGCGTATTCCCGAGCTTCTCATTTGGGTCGGCTGGCCTGATGTCAACGTGTGGGTGTGCCCCCCCCTGCGCAGGCTCCTTCCTTTTTTCTGAGGTGATTGTGGGCGAGGCTCCGGAGCACCCGCTCAGCGAGTGCCAGTGGTTCCACGGCACCTTGTCGCGCCTCAAAGCCGCCCAGTTAGTGTTGGCGGGCGGGCCGGCCAGCCACGGCGTCTTCCTGGTACGCCAGAGCGAGACGCGGCGTGGCGAATACGTTCTCACCTTCAACTTCCAGGGGAAGGCCAAGGTCGGTGCCTCGCCACAGCTGCCGTCCACAAACTTCATACATTTTCTTTGTTTTTGGCGCCACCAACACCCAACTTCAATTACAAATGACTCCTAACCGAAACACGCGCCCTCCCTTCCGGCAGCACCTGCGCCTGTCGCTGAACGAGGACGGCCAGTGCCGCGTGCAGCACCTTTGGTTCCAGTCCATCTTCGACATGCTGGAGCACTTCCGCGTGCACCCCATCCCCCTGGAGTCGGGCGGCGCCTCCGACGTCACGCTCATCAGCTTTGTGGGTGCTGCTGCCGTCCGCCAGCCAGGTACGAGCCGGAGCACGCCGCCCTCGCCCCGCCCTTCCCCTGCGCCCGTCTTTCGCTGTGTGCCGCACCGACGACCGCCTCCCGCTGCCCCTCCCACTTCTGACATCTTGTTGTGTTTGTCCGTCACTCGTCCTTGCAGGCCGGGACAGGGCGGGCAGCCGGCCTACCGTCTGTGATGTCATCACCACGCGCCATCCCGACTCTCCATCAACCCCCATCTCTGACTGTGTGTAAGTGACTTGTGTGTGTGTGTGTGTGTGTGTGTGTGTGTGTGTGTGTGTGTGTGTGTGTGTGTGCGTGTGCGTGTGTAAAACTGTGAGGGTGCCTTTGTGAGTGTGAGTTGGTTTCTGAGAGTGAATGAGATTGCATTTGAAAACCAGAATGGTATGAGTGTGAGATTGCGTGAAAGGAAAGTGTGTGTGTGTGTGTGTGTGTGTGTGTGTGTGTGTGTGTGTGTGTGTGTCTCAACATCAAAGCTTTGTGCATCCGCATTGCTCATCCGTAATTGGCTGGTTTGTGTGACGCTGGAGAAAGCCTCTTTGCAGCGTGTTGACAAGCCACCAGGTTGCGCCGATGTCCATGTACGAAGCAACCGTCACTTCCCAAACAGGAAGTAGAAGAGTTCAGTGTGAGAGTTGACTGTTTTCATAACAACCTCAGCCGCCATGACTCCTCCTTCGCTCATGACCTCACTTCCTCTCACTAGCCCCTCCCCTTCCTCCTGCCGCATTCACACTCTTTCGCTTCATTTTGTTCTCCCTCCCTTTTTGTCTTTTCACAGACTTGACCAGCAGACCCCGTAGCCCCCCTCAGCCGCCCCCAATGCCGCCGGGACGCCCGCCACCCCCGACGCCGCCTCAGGAGAGAGGACGAGAGACAGAGCCGGAGGCGACGTCGGCAGCCGCAGCAAGCGCCGGCAGCGGGGCGGGAAGCGGCAGCGCGGCGGAGGACTGGGACGACCGTGACGCGCCGCTGCACCAGCTGGAAGCGGCGGCGGCGGAAGAAGAAGAGCTGGAGGCCGCCCGGGCGCCCCGAGCCGTGGACAACCAGTACTCCTTTTTCTGAGGAGGCAGTCGTAACACTAAACGAGCGAGAGCCAGACCAGACCAGACGAGACAGACGCACGCCGAGAGCAGCTTACGACACTAACGAGTGCCACGCTACTTTGGCCTCAGCGTACACGCGTACCTCATATGTCCGCCGCTTGATCTTCACAAACACCTCATACAAACCTGCGCATGTATGAACCATTGAAATCCTCTGTGTGTGTGTGTGTGTGTGTGTGTGTGTGTGTGTGTGTGTGTGTGTGTGTGTG